ATCAGTCCCATGACAGCCATTTCTGACTGCTCTTTCCTGGGAAGGGAATGTCATTATCACGGTGTCTCTGCCCTACACCTGTCAGGGTTTTGTCATCCTGTCACCTGATGCCCAGCGACGAAGTTTCAGCTGAGCTTATTCTTCAAAACAACATTTTTTTTTTCACTCTCACGAGGCCCAGGTTCAAAAACTGGAAACATCCAGTGATTGCTCCCACATGAAAGGTGCCAGTACAGAAAGCTACTGCTTTTTTGCCAGTGGGGGGAGAGGGGAAGCATGAGGTGGAGGAAGAATGCAGAGGGAAGAGTCAGGCAGAGAGGAGAAAATGGCCAGGATTCATACCCAAATTATAAAGGGTGAAAAACATCTGCTTAAGAGAACAAGGTGCCAGCTATGTCCCTTCTCTAGCCAATCCCTCTGCGTCTGTGTTAAAACACTAGTAGCCTCCCACTATTTTTTCAGAAGTTGACAATATTATTTTAATACACACTATCCCATCTGCATTGGCTGTATTTGTATTAAGACAATAAACCGAACTTTGAACATGCTTTAAGTTCATATTCCTATGGCATGTAGCTATTCTCGACAACTAGGTAATCAGCCTTGGAAATACCTGTGGCATGACACATAGACGAGAAAACAAAACTCATATCACTGCATCCAGGGGGTTATGTCTTAAATGAGATGATCTTTCTCTTTTTTTTTTTTTTTTTTTCACTGGGCACCCCGGGGCTGGCCCCTTGCCAGGTGCTGCTCCGTGGTGCAGAACCCCCGCCTCACGCACCCGTGTACCCTCCGGGGAGGGTGTGTGCAGGTGCCCATCTCCCCTGCGTGCCCGACCGTGTGCATTCACCTGCACAGGGCGTAGGCCCGTGCGTGCACACGGATGCTGTAGGTAGTACAGGACACAGCTGTCACCCTCTCCAACCCCTGCTGAAGCCACCTCCCGGCCCAGCACCATGTCTGGCCACGTGTTGAGTGTCGCAAAGGAGGGAGATTCTGCAGCCTCCCTGGGCACTCTGTGCTAGTGCTTTATAATTTTTAGTAGTATTCTACTTAATGCATATTTCAGGCATCAGGGAAGACAAAACTGACAGGTCTAGGAGCAGCAACTTTAATGATCAATAATATCTTAACTTGTGTGACCACTTCCTCTGTCATGAGCCTGAGAAGGGTTCTCAAATTTTTAAGCCTATCTCTCAAAGGTAAGCTGGACTGTTCTCAAGAGTGAGGGGAACAGTAATTGAAATAAGAGTAGTGTTTGTTTCAGAGTAATGTTCCACTCATCAATATCCAGCCCTGATAAAAGAGTTCAAGAGGTTTTCTTCTTAAGGTGGATACTTGATAGCTTTGTATGGTGGTGTTCACTATCTTTGTTTCCGTACAAGCCACATGTGAATTCCAAATGAAAATAATATTGGCATGGAAATAGCTGCAAAGCATTTGCAAGACCTCAAGGGACTCTCAAGTAGACTTCTAATTATTCTTAGCGCTGCAAGGTTTGCTTTCTGCAAATTCCAACTGCTGTTGCATTAGCAAAAGCCTGGAATGCTGAGACCCTTGGCCTTGGTTTCTGTCTCTGGGGAGTAGAATATGATTCATCTGAGAAACTCAGCTCTTCATATTTTCTTGTAGTTCACACAAAGATTGTTAGGAGCATAGTAATTGATTTGTTTCTTCTGGTCCTATAAATGCAGTGGAATATAAAAAGGAAATGTTCAAAGAGGGAGGGTGAAACTGTTTAACTAGGTCAGAAGAGGGCCAGCATACAAAAAAATTGTTCTTTCCATGCCTCTTCCATCCTCATAAATTTTGGAATTTCCAGGACAGACCAGCTAGTACTACTCCATACATGTAGTAACATACTTTCAAAATATCAAACACATCTCTACATATTTCATCTTAAAATGAACAAGCTAAAACTTCTGATACCTGAGTCCCTGCAGAAGACTTTGGGCACTGCGGCCACATGCAAATCTATCAGCCCTACAATCTTCATGTGTCTATACTTCATGGCAAGTGCCCCTGCTGTGGCTCCAGTGTTCTGAGATCTGCCTTCACTCCCTTTACAAAAAAACACGTTTAAGTTGTACATAACAGAAGACACTAGATACAAAAATTCAAGTGAGCCAAATAATTACCTTAGCTCCTCCAACCCCATCAGAAATACAGGCTCACATTTGATAGACAGTTCAAGATCCTCTAATACCTTGTGGCCTTTCTAGTTATCTACAGTCTCTTCAGTCCCTGAACATCAAGTAGCCCAAGTATATGGCACTTGTGCATTGTCACAGGCAACTATTGTGTCTCATCTGAAAAATGCTTTGCATTGCTGCCTCCTTCTGGAAGTAAGCTGGACCAGTTAAATGGCATATTAAAACCGAATTGTTTAACATCAAGAGACATGCATGCTCATAAGCTTTTGGAGGTAGAAGATACCCACTAGCCCAAGCATGAAATCCTGTAAACAATATGGAGACTACTGCATTATACATTTTCTAGTTCAGACCTAATTCAGTTAAATCCGGACAATCAGATGTCACTGGTGGCCAAGGGGACCTCGCTGGTGGCCACAGAGACCTCGCTGTTGGACATGTGTCACAGGAACTTCACTCAAAAGAAAGAAGTAGTGTGAAACAGTGATTTAACAAAACTAGTAGTAAATGTGAGAGTGTTTTATGAGATTCGATGGCAAGGTACACTTGATTATTTACTGCATAGAGGACAAGGTCAGACATGCTGTCAGGGAGACCATCCTGTTGAGTCACAAGGTACAGAAAGGACCCCCTGGTTTTCTAAAATCCTTCTCAGAGAGGAGTATGGGTGCAGCTGGATCCAATCCTAGTCCCAGACTTGGTCAACAGTTTATGTCTAAAGGCTTATATCTGCACAATCAACCCTTTCAAAGTTCAGTCACTTACCGAGAATCTGTTGCGGCAAGGAATCTCTCAGCCTCAAAGAGTACAACCTTAAGCAAATGTCCCTACTCAAGGGGAGATCCTGGCATGCAGCCACTGCAGTAAGAGAGAGCTCAAAGGGCTCTTGGGCTGCCCACTATTTATAGAGTAAGATAATTGACCTATAGTCATATTCTCATGGGAACAAAATATCTAGGTCCCCACTCCAGACAGTGTTTTGGCTGCTGTTGCCAGCCATCCCCCAAAGTCCAAGTGCAACTCATCCCAAGTCCCACTGATGGTTATGGCTTGAGCAGGAGCTGGGGGAGGGCGGG